AGAGAGAGAGAGAGAGAGATTGAAAAAAAGAAGCCGACCGGGTGTATCCCGGTTGCGATACGCGAGTGAAATTTTAAAACGACTGCTCCTTGTATACAGGCGAAGGTTTTACACCGCATAACTATAGACACCAAGTTGTCGAACGTTAACTTACGACCGGCAATCGGTGCCAAGGCTGACTCGTCGACAATGATCCACCGACACTTCAAAGACATTGTCCGGCATTCGGGATAAAAAAATTTCGATTCCTTTTTCGCGTCCACCGATCTTTCCTGAATGCGAAACAGAAGTCTGTTGAACGCAGGAGGGGAGGAGGAATCGCGCGCGTGCACACAAGCGAGGAATCGAAATGGAAAAATTTAGCAAGGGAGGAATTGGTTTTACCATCGAGTAAACCACTTTGTCACCCGATTACTCAGTACCGAGGAATGTTGAATAAACAATTTCTTCTTTGAAGGCCTCACAGCTTGGCAAAGAAAACCGCGCGCGATTTCGCATTCATGCCGAATTCATGCGTGATACGTGAATTTTATACGAGGATGGAATATTTGATCGCTAGAAAATTTGGATTTATTAGAAAAATGTTCGTGAACATCCTTGTAACGTATTTCTTTTCTTTCTTTATTTCTTTTTTTTTTTAAAGAGAATCGTGAGAAAACGTAAGAAACTCGTTTCGATCTTTTAAAAATCACAATTTTAATTGTAATGCGATTTCTTCGACGATGGCAGATTTAAAGAAAAAAATCTGATCGATTTAATTTCACACCGATTTAACGATTGCGATCAGCAGCATCGAAATAGAAACGTTCGCCAACAACTCAATCGGTTCGCGTTCGTCAAATTTACGTTCGAGGAAAAGGGAGGTTACGTGCAGGTTCGGAATCGAATATATCTGAGAGAAATGAAGGCAGCACGTGCAAGTGTTGCAGTGGTCGTCCATTATCACGGCTTAATGCATTGGTCGTGCGTAATGCAATCGGTTCTTCGTGCCAAGGAATAATCGCGTGGCGTTAATTAAAGCTCGTGCACTCGATTATGTGCGCCACGTAACATGCACGGTCGTGGATAAATCCTGAGCGCGTGCGGGGACTCGCGAAGATGAAGATGATGAAGAAGAGGAAGACGAAGAAGAAGAAGAAGAAGAAGAAAAAGAAGGAGAAGAAAAAGAAGAGGAATAAACGAAATAGGCATGCCAGAAAGTGCATGACTAGACTGACCATATATTCGCGATGATGTAACAGGAGAAACCGCAGAGACCACACCCCGACGATGCCGCTCAGCCACGTGCTGTTTCGTAAGCTACCGAGTTTTAGGCAAGGCCATCGCGACCCGAGAGATGCTCCCCATAAGCCACTTTCGAATAGTCGAATAATTCGTGTCCCATTTCGTTTATCGCGCACGCCCCGTCCTTTAACACGCGATAAATAAGATTTGCGACCTCTTATTATGCAGGTATTTCCGAGACGTTTTACCGAGAAACGTTTAATGCACCTAGGTCGTCCAATAAGTATATCTGTACCCTCTCCGTGGAAGAGGGAACCAAGATAACATTGTATCCAAGTAAACATTCGAAATTTAAGAATAGACACATTCTTCGAAATATTCACCGTGCAAAATTTTTCACGTCAAGTCATCGTTAAACAACGCGTAAATAAAATAAAAATTATTCCAAATAAAAAAGAAATATACTTGTGCGTGCGTTACACGATACCTCGATAAATCATATAAAAGGATATAATTCCGAATCGAATGGAAATTTATCGTGCATCGTAAACGATATATCATCGACCGTGGTGATCGGCCAATGGCGATGGGAAAGGCAAAGCTTTAAAACGGAAGTTACGGCGGGGGTGTAATAACTCGTTTTATTAACTGACCTACGTTCGAGTTCATCGGGCAACTTCGTTACCATTAATCCCCGGCCTTAGCGAGAACTGTCGAAGGTTCTTGAACCGGGAGCGCAATAATTACTTCGTGAGAAACTTCGTGGCACCGTGGCGACCGTTTCCGGGTGGAAAGAAGACCAAGTTTGCGGTCTCGTTTCGAGCCCGCCTCGTCGGTTGTCGCTCGTTAGCGCGAACAACGATCCGCGTGTCTCCTTGTCTCACGAGAGAACGGGAGCAATTGGGGCCAACTGTTTTCGCACGGACTGTCGATTTCAATCGATCTCCGGATCGGGTGAAACGAAACGAGAAAATGAAACGGAACGGAATCGAGAAATCGTGGTTCGATTCGATAAAAAAGGGAGGGAGGGTAAATATTAATTTCCAGGGAGGGTGGTGCCGCGAGAATTCCATAGAAACTATCAATTTATGACTGGCGCCAGCGGCGCGCATTGGATAATGGCCAACGATGTAGGAACGTCGTTAATCACCGGCACAGCTCGGTTATTCGCTAAGTCGAAAATGCACCGGGCCCCGGTTAGAACGGGGTCGTGAAATAATACCGCAACTGAAAATAACGAACGGATGTGCCGCGGTGGTTAATCCACAATCGCGCGCGTGTATAAATATTACACGAAAGGCGCGGTGACCGGACAAAAAGAAACGCCTCTCTCACTGTACACTGTAATCAGGAACGCGGGACAGGCATAAAGCAGCGTCATACAGGGCATAAATAACGAGAAAATTGCCAATAACTTCGAGACGTACATTCCGTACCCCGTGTTACGTTTGATCTCGAAAATAGTTCACGATTTATCGTCCAGATTTCCAGATTACGCTATCTCGCCGAGAACGAGGAAGGGGGGAGGAAGAAAGAAAAGGAAAAAGAAGATCAGGAAGAGACGAAGAAGAATGGATTCAGAATGGAGCTCCTGTGGCGTTATCGAAACGCAACACTGTACACTCCTGGATTCTCTTCTCCTATCCACGTACATGTATATGTATATATATATATATACATACGTGGTTGGACACATGGCGCGCGTACGATCATGAGAACGGGCTGCTATAAATATTCGATTCGCTGCTCTAATCTGTTGGTGGACGAGGTTATAATACCAGGTCTTACCGGGTCTACCGGGGCCTGGTATTCCTCGAATGGAAATAAAACGCGTGTAGAGCAAAGGTGGGCAACGTGGACGGACGGGCAACCATGCGAATACGCGGGCTTCGAGTATGCGCCGGTGCGTATGCACACAAGAGTGGCATACGTATATAGTTAGATATACATAAGTGGAGACCGGCTGGTTGGCGCCACTAGGTCCTCTCCGCGTATAGGTGTAACGCGTAATAAACGTAATATCGTATGGGCCGATATGACCCGGGCATTATGTTCCTTTACGAGACGAAACCGAGGGATTATATCTCTTCCTCCTATTGCGCGCACAATCTTTCTTAATCGGCGTATCGGGATACGATGAGGCGGCGGCGACGACGTGGGGAGGCCGGAAAGGATTTATAACGCGTGATGGGATAATACGTTTCGTGTTTGTGCTTCGGGTAAATCGATTCGGTCTAAATGAAAAGGTTCGATGGAGCCATCCTCGGCTCGTTATTTCCGTGATGAAATGTACTTTGCGCGAGCTCAGAGTGAAATGTTTATTTAAAAATATATGTAAAGAGATAACTTTAAATATTTCTTCGACGTGTTTCACTTCTGATTTATCGATAATTCAATTCTTCCCGATCGTTGCGCGGTCGTCTATGATATATACATGATCTAACGTTCGTGTATTTTATTATATTTTTCGATCGATTATGATCGATTATTTATTTATTTATTTATTTATTTATTTGTAGATTTTTAGACGAAACGCGGGAAAAAGGTACACGTTCGATTTTGTACAGGGTAGTATATAACTCCGTTATACAAACGCGAGAGGATCAATCGTTAATTCGATGCCTGCAGGTACTCACATTCCTCGATACCAGAGGGGCTCGTACACCAGAGTCAGAGTTCATGTTCTCGTATTTTCTGTCGTACGATTCATCGAAAATCGATTCCTCGGCAGCGTACTGAATTTAATTATACGGACAATCGGTTTCGCCAATCGAATATCAAACTCTTCCATTTTGCAATCTCCTCTTCCTTTTTTTTGCTCGACGATAACCAACAAGAAAGATACAAAATTCATATTTTAGTACGACTGATTAATGGTGGCGTGGTCAAATTTTGAATATTGATCCAAATCGTTTCGGAGTTTTCGATACCCAATTTGAATTTATTATTGCTTAATAAACCTCGTGTATTGAAAATGATAAATAGAAAGACCACACGCGCGCACGCATCGAATCTTCTGCATCGAATCGATGAAAAGAGGTGAATTTGATTTAAAATATGCTCTCACGAAATGGCCAGGTTCTAGCCATGAATATGAAATTCCCTTTTCTTTTTTTTCTTCTTTTTTTTTTATATACCTTCGCACGCGGGTTGGGAATAACAAAACTTAATGGATTGAAATGTATGCATACTATTCGAAATCCCGAGTATCACATTTTCTAATTTGATTTTCTACCACCTCGTTGACAGCCAATTGCCAATAGAAATCCGACAGCATTAGCATTTCATTAACATAATTTAAGAAATTTTTCGAATTACTTAATACGTTAAGTAAATTTCACGCTGAAAATATCCAAGATAAAAAAAACAAAATTTTTTTACTATCTTGTTATCTCATGAAACACGAAAATATACGCTCTTTCTTTTCTCACGTGTTCAACGCGATCGTGTACTACGGGAAGATCTTTTCACGGGAAAACTCTTTCGAAAAATTCTCGATTCACGACGATTCTTTGCCAATTAATCCTCGTTTGCTCGATAAAACGACTTTCTCACATCTTTCTATCATCGCGGAAACCATTCGCGGTTATCTGGATCGGCAAAATCGCAAAGAGCAAAGAGGAACGACGATCGGTTGGTCCTCGACTAATTAGTATCATGAATTATTCATATCGGCGAGCTCGTGTCGTTTAAACAACATAACGATGATAAAATATAAGGTGAATAAAAGGGCGAGCATTTCGTTCGCGTGTAAGCAAAGGAAATGGACAGATATAATTCTTTTTTTTTTTCTTTTTCTTATCCGCACTCGCATCCGAGAAGCACGCGATAAAAAAACGTTTCTACGAGAGATGGAATTAACGTAACCGTCTTCATCCGTCTTTCATTTCCGTACGATATTTGCGAGCAAGTCTCGAGCAAGTAACGCGCCAACGCTGTGTTGTTCACTCTCCCGTCCTATTTAGATTTATCGTTTTATTTACATGCACATGCGGCGCACAACCGTTCGACAACAATATCCCGAAACGATCGCGTTTAACTTCCACGTTTCTCGGTTGAAACGTAAAATCTAAAATTGTTGCCGGAGCGCGGAACACGTGAAAGTCGGGCACAAATGTTTGGAAACAGTCGGTTGAATCGATCGTTATGTACTTGATTAGAATCCGGAGTGCGTATGTACGTACGTATGTACGTATGTATGCATGTACGCGCACGATGAGGCGCGACTCTGCGTTTCCTCGTTGCACGATTAGCGAAGTTTATTTTGGCTCGCGAGCCGGTATGATGTCATCGTTTTGATTGCTAGTTCAATAAAGCGGCAAATATTAACTTCCAGGCGAATACATTCAAAGTGCACTCAGAGACTCGCGAAAATGATGTTATCGATGTACGATTAACATCAACGAATCCATCGATCTTGAAACGAAATTTTATTCACCTTATTGCACAACGAAAACCACGCTTCTTCGATTTCTAATGAAACGAATGAGTCGATTTTAACCGTCTAACTCTAACACTTCCTTGCACTTGTTGCATTCGAAAAGCACGCTATATATACCATTATATACACCTTCGATCGGGAACAATGGGAAAAAGCGCGAGGGAGAACAAGAAGTCCGAGTACGAAAAAGAAGGATTCGAAAAGCGTAACGTTAAAAGAAAGAAAGAAAGAAAGAAAAAAAAGAATACGAGAAGAAAGAAGAAGAGAAACACGAGAACGCTCTCAAGTGTAACGTGAAAAATCGTACACGCGGTATACCTTTCCTCGTGACCCCTCGTGGCAGATCCTTCCGCTTCTTTCCTCGCGCACTTTACTTCCACACTCTACCTTTCTCTCCGTTACTCTCCTTGACCTCAAACGGGTGCAATTATTCTTCGAATAATTCTTGGCAGGACGATAGGGACGATAGAGATCTCCACGGGATCCCGGGACCTTCTCGTCGATCCAAGCGCCGCCGTGCTCCGCGCGATTTGATTCGAGTCGCGTGCACCGCGCCGCGGAAACGAATTTCGTACCGGCGAAACGTAACGCGCGCGATGAATCTCTCTCGTGTGCTTTTTTCCTTTCCCCCCCCGCGATAACAACGCGACTCCCCTCCTCTCGACTTGTGCGAGTGTCGGGGCCGAATGTCGCGCGATCAATCGGAGGATCCGTGTGGAGGACTGGAGGAGAGACTGGACTGGAATTATTTTCACGTGTGTTTATCGATCGGCGCGCACGTATGTACGCGCGCGACAGAGCGGACCGTTCGCGCGCGAGCTTCGAAAAGCAATGCAAGCGCGAACGACACGGGAGCCTCTCGTTCCTTCCTACGTTCTTACGTCGATCTCGCTGCTGTGTCTGTCTCCCTTCCTTTCGATCGTCCCTCTTTCTCCCTTTCTCACTCTCTCTCTCTCTCTCTCCCTTTTTCTCCCGCCCCTCTATCCTCCTCGCTCGCGCTCAATCATACCTGTCCTCCGTCTCCGTCCCCATTTCTGACTTTTACCTTTCTCTCTCCATCCCACTGTATCGATCCCCCCTCCTCCCTCTCGCTCTCTCTCTGTCTGTTCCACGATACTTTGCCCGCTTCAAGCGTGTTACGCTCTTTTTCTCTCTTTCGAGAGAGCTCAATGATCTTTTTTCATACCTATTCCCACTCTTTCCTCTTATTTCTTTCGTTTATCCCTTTCCTCTCTCTTTCTCTCTCTCTCTCTCTCTTATTTTCACGTTACATCCCAGCTTTCCTCGTGTCCTTGCTCTCCACCGTACACTCTCTCTCTCTCTCTCTCTCTTCTTCCATCTCGTTTCACGTCTTACGCTATATCTCCGTCCCGCATTTTCATTATCGTTCATCCCGTCTCTGTCCGTACGATCCTCCCAACCCCCACCACTCGAGTTTTCTCCCTTCCAACTTTCCTCATCCCCCACTTTATCGGTGTATACCTTTGCTCGCTTTGCGTCTCCTGCCGGCCACCCACAGTCCTCCATCTCTCTCTCCATCTCTCTCTCCATCTCTCTCTCTCTCTCTCTCTCTCTCTCTCTCTCTCTCGCACCGTTTTACCGGTGTACGCTTCGTCTACCCTCCCTCTCTCCGTTTCTCTTTCTCCCCCTCTCCCCCTCGTGTTTCGAGCATCGTCGATCTACATTTTTCTTGGCCGTTTGCCCTCCTTCTCCCTCACGAGTGCACCGCGATCCATCCTATCCGGGATTCGCCGAAACGTGCTCGCGGGGGTTCCGCTCATCACCGTTTGATCCACGATTACTATCATTTAATATGCCCCGCGGCCCTTTTTATAGTTCGCCCCTTTCACGAAACAACGAACCGGGAAGATTGCGGCAAACATATTTTGTCTTTGGAAACGCCCCGGGGACAGATCGTTCGATCGTATTAGCGTTTTATTCGAGGAGCCGTTGGCGTACACAGCGCTCTCGATAAACAGGGACTGATAAAATATGCTCGATAATGTTTGTACGGCCCCCGTTATACCCCACGCTGATCCGCGTAAATTCGATAGCTCGTGCGCTCCTTATCTTCACCGTTTCGATACCGTTGTTACACAGGAATTAATTATATACTTATTACGCGTGTATACGCGTATACGCGATTCAATCTCAACACGCGGATTATTTTTCTCCGCGTTTCGAAAAACTCGCCGCGGAACTCTGTGTCGAGATATATATATATACCCTGGAGCGATTAGAAGTGGACGTGCTCGTTACCCGAGTATCGGAGTACTTGTAAATCAGGCTCCGGTTCGAGGATCGAATACAAATCGAATCGAATATCGGTATCTGGTTTCTGAATTTCTCAAACATTTAATAAATTTATCGATTCGCGGTGAAATTGTGTTATTAGACGTATCAATCCACTCGATTTTACCATCCATATTGTTGATCCTCCATCAACAATAAACATCGATAAAAATGCCTCATGAAAAATCTTAGCTTCGAGATCAGCTAATCGTGCAGAGTTCACTTTCGATACTTTCTTGATTATCGACCGACATCTCGCCACAATAAAAACTCTTACGAAAAAGTAACTCGTGTTATCGTGAAAAAAATTGTTTCAAGCCATGGATGTAAAGATTCCGTTCCATGAGCGCAGCAGGCCGTATTATATTTTTAGTGCGTTCAAGTACGACGAACAAAATCGAAGGTGACACCCCTGCGTACGTCTGGCCTGCCCCCTCGGAGTCCTCCAAAGTCCCCTCGAGCACGATAAATGATTTATCTCCGTGTCCCTCGCCGCTGATCCCCGTCGTTGGTGTTCGTGCCACGGTGGAACGGACACGCGTCCAGCGGTGCTCAGAAAGCCACTTTTGCGACACCCACGTGCCGGGATAAACACGTGGGTACGAT